GGTCTCTCATTGGACGCCTTCGACGACTTGGAGGACTCTCGGGAACCAATCGACTCGAAGCTTGACGTACGGGTGTGTCCTCTGGAACTGCTTTGACCGCCATTTCCATTACCAGTTGTGGTGGACAGGGAGCCCGAACTCGATATGGTTTTGATACTATGCGTCGACAGTGAATACCTGCGCCCAGCGATGGGTAAAGACATCAATGAGTTTACCATTAATTCATATCTCGTGATAAATGAGTCAATAGTGTACTGCGAGATGTCTATCCGCTACCACCCGTTCCGTAGACTAAGAGGTTGTAGTGATTAAGAGGTAGATGTAAGACAAGTGTCCCTAACTATCACAGACAAGACAACGGGTCTACCATTAAGTCATACATCACTACACACTTAGTCTACGCTATGAACACATCTTAAGGTGGGAAGTAGTGTTGGAAGCGCTCGAGTGATAGCTTAAGACACGTCTCGCAGTGTCAACACAAACACGAGTGGATCCATACGTTTCGGACATATCCTCGGCGTTCACGTTATGGCCATCAGTGGCGTAGTAGTCGTGTCGTCTGTGGCCGCCGGAAGTACTTCCAGCGGGTGATGATGTCTGCGACCCGGACGCCGACGTATGGAGCACTTGAGCGGCACTCTTGTCCATCGCGTTGAGCATCTGCTCGGCCTTACCGGCGATGTCCGTAAACCACGACATACTGGCCGCGGATCCGGTGTCTCGAGGGCTGAGGCTATCGGAGGACTCAATGGACGCGTGTTTTGGCGACGAATCGGCGGACAAACGGTTCACTCAATCGCGCACTCAATGAGTGATTGCGTCAACAAATGTCTCAATCAGTGAAACACTGTTTTGTTTATTAGTTTTGCTGAAGGGGTACAGGAGACGTACCGGTGCTGTCAATATATTGTGTTCATTGTGGTTTGGGGCAGTTCTTATCAGGGTTATTTAGTGGGTGTGAATGGTATGAAGTTTTCATATGACCTTGCTAACTAATTTTGTAATATAAGTGTGTAATTATTTTTGTATAAAGTTTATGATGCGTATAGTATAGCGAGAGTGAAGTGTAGGTAGTATTGAGTTTTCAAAACAGATTTCTGACATAAATTACGACAATATATTTGGTGAAAGTTTTTTAGTTTTTTAAGTTATAGTTTTGGTTGACTGATTTGAAAAAAGCTGCACGCTTATTTGTACTTTATTATTTAACCTACTTCGATACGAATGTTTATTTTAATTTGAGTTTAATTGCACTATGTTATTTATATAATTTAGATTGCACGTGTGTGTATATAATGTAAAGTTCTTTACTATAAATAGCCTAGATAATTTACATTACCTTATTTAATAATATTCAATATTTAATGTCATATTGTTAGTTTTATTTTAAACTGTAAAATATAATTTAAAAATCATTTTTATTAAATAATCATTTAAGTTATATGAACATCATTCTGATAATATCTAAATTATTATTAAAATTATTTTCTACACTAAATTTACTAAGTTATGAACAAAGTTGGTAAAGCTAAAATAAGTAATAACATTTGGAATTCAAAAATGAATGTCCATGATAATATTAGGGTTCAAATCGAAATGTTGGAGTTATTTATGAGAAGTAAGTGTATGTGGGTCTACGAAAACGTCGACCAATACATGCTAAGGCGACCATGGAGTAAATGGCGATTAGCCATGGTAATCATAACCAGAATATCACTATTATTAACATGCATTAGATTTGTTGTATTAGCAATGGTAACGAATCACCATATACTGGACCTGATGCTTGATTTTGGACACATTAAAATTAAACTACTATTGTACCTTGGTCTAGAAATGATATTACTGTCAATGCTAAGCGTTGGATTTGTTACACTTTACCAAGAGTATACTCGTACGTTATTCATATTCAAATTCTTTAATAGTTTAAAATATAATTTATTTAAATACCCGCTAAGCATTGAGAAACTAACTAAATTGACAACTATACTAGCTATATTAAATAAATATTTAACTATGCCGGTGTATATAATTCTAGTATCAGCTCCCACTGTGTTTAATACTTATCATGTGTTTATTGTTTATTTTGAAAATCCTTCAATTTTGAAATTTATAATCATGATACTTTTTAACATTAATGTTATATTAACCTCGCTTATATCGACTGCATTTAATTGGTCCGGTTTTTTCGTGTGGTTTGCGTCCACTTATTATTTTAAGCATAAATTTCTAGAGATCTCCGATAAGATAGCGGTTAGTGTTAAGTACGATAACAAACGGCTATTAATGTCTGCTATAAGTGAACACAATTATTGGGAACTACAGGTTAAGGATTGTAATAATACCTTCCGGTGCTTTACATTCATACTCTACTACATAGGCACCGTTGGTATACAATTATTTATTTACATGCTACACCACCCTGATTCTAGCATTTCTATCAGAATATTCTGTATAACTTTAATTGGAATCGAGTTTACCATAATTGGATACATGAATATAATGAGCACGTGGATTACTAAACCGGCACATGAATCGTACCCATTACTTGTGTCATACCTGTCCCATAGCACTGCCCTAACAATGAGTGATCGGCTAAAAATACAGACATTTGCCGAACGCCTGTCCGGACCTACAATCGGCTACTATTGCTATGATTTGTTTCCTATGAATAGTTATGAATTGTATCAATACTTATACATCGCTGGCAGTAATTACATACTAATTATTTCACTGTTTTAATGAATATGATAACGATTTATTTAAATACTAATTAATTTGTGATTATATTTGACGTTTATTATCCTTACACCAATTATCTGAAATATTAATTGAAATTAAAAAATTAAAAAACAAAATAATTTATATGAATGTAATTTTTTACTAAATTTTAATTTATTAATCACTTATTTTATTATAAAATATACATTGCTTAAAAATTATAATTAAAATTCATTGAGACAACAGGTGCGCACCAGTGCTTCGGTAACCGCATAGGGATCACAATTAGAAGCGGGTCGCCTGTCCTCAAAATAGCCCTTCCCTGCCTTTACAACAGGCATAGGTATCCTAACACTGGCGGCTTTGTCGGCCTCACCCCACGTGAACTCATCCGCTTTGGACGACCAAAACCCGGTCAGTCGCCGGGCGTTATCCTTACCCCCGAGCGGGTCATACACTTTCATGTGTTTGTCGTGTGTTTTGCTCAGCTTTTCCATCGCTGCCCTAATCTCAACCAAACCTCCCTCTGCTCTCATAGCCTCTGTACTGAAGTTAGTGTGGGCGCCGTTGGCCAGCCATCCGGGTACAGGTTTCGGATCAATCGACACCCCTATATGTAGATCCTCGGCCACTCTATGCAGTATATATCTGGACATTATTAGGTCGTCCCCTAGTTTTATGCCCTCACAGGGACCCACCTATTTGAAGGAAATGGATTACGATTTGTATTATAAGTTGATTTAATTTGTGTGATAAGTATACCTGGTATTCCCACTGAGATGGTTGTCCTTCTGCATTCTCACCGCATATATTAATGCCCGCATACAGACAGGCCCTCAGGTGGGCCTCCATCACATCCCTCCCGTACTGGTTGTTAGCGCCAACAGCCCCGTAATGAAACGCATGCGGAGATGCCAATGGTTCCGGGTAACCATTTTTAGGCCAACCCAACGGCCAGTTAGTCTTGCTGTCCATGAGGTAGTACTCCTGCTCAACACCAAACCACGGGTGTTGGTCCCGTGCCAACTCCATGGCCTCATTACAACTGTATCTATAGTTGTTGGACAGGGGTTTCATGTCAGCCGTCAGTAACTCACACAACACTAGCTTATTATTGCCGCCCCGGAAGGGGTCGGCGTATAGTTGGACGGGTCGTATGAATATCTCGACCAGTTTCGTGCCAACAGGTATAGCCATGTCCCAGATTGGCAGTTGCGATGCACTTTCGGGCACAAAGTTGACAACTTTAGACTTACTGCTAAGATGAGCCAGGCCATCGCCACCCTGGCAAAGGTACACGTAAGCCACCAGTATTTTGTCCCGGGGCTGTTCCAGTGCCATATATTTGGCCATAAAGCCACTGTTAGATGCGAGTGGTGTGGAACTCATATTTTTAAAGTAGAAGTTTACTATTTACCTTTATTAATGTAAAAGTAATTATAATAATGACTAATGAAATATGAATTACATTACTTATATTTGTATAGTTGGCCATGAAATAGGTATTAGAAATGAATTATAATTATCTGATTATATCAATATTTATTAAATTACAGCATATGTTAGTAACAGATGAGATACTAATGTGTGTATATTATAGACTCTACAACTATGAGACCTTAATCAGCTGCACCTTATTTCATGAATAAATGTATTGGATTATATTTTAAAATATTTCTACAATTATACAATTTACTCAGTTTAGTTCAGTTTAGTGTATTGGAACTTAATTTTTAAATTGGGTAAAATTATTTATTTAAATGAGAAATTACTCCGGTGTTTCATTATTATGTAATTAAATCGAAAATGTAAATTATATCGCAAGTATTTAACCTAAATCAAAAATAGCTTGTGATTAAATAATTTCTATAATATTTACTTTATCTGAATTGTACATGTACATTTAATGATAAGGATTCATAGACTTTGTTCATTAAAGTTTAATAATTTATTTAATTATTTATATATAATTATATAGAAATTATAAATTCTATTAAATTAACAATTTTCTGTAATTACATTTAATTTCATATATCTAATATAACAAGTATTTAATCATAAAAATATTACTAATTATCTAAAAATCTATTCATTGAGACAACAGGTGCGCACCAGTGCCTCGGTAACGGCATAAGGATCACAGTTAGAGGCTGGTCTCCGGTCCTCAAAATAGCCCTTCCCTGCCTGTGCCACTTGCTTAGGGATCCTAACACTGGCAGCTCTATCGGCAATACCCCACGAGAACTTATTTAAATCGGATGACCATAACTGACCGGTTAGTCGTCGTGTATTATCTGCACCTCCATGGGGGTCATACACCTGGACGTGTTTGGCATGATTTTTGCTTAGCTTATCCATCGCACGCTTAATCTCTGCCAGCCCTCCCTCCGCCCTCATAGCCTCAGTACTGAAGTTGGTGTGAGCGCCACATCCCATCCAACCGGCCACTGGTTTGGGATCAAAAGATATGCCAATGTGTAGGTCTTCGGCTATTCTGATCAGTATATATCTGGACATTGTTAGGTCGTCCCCTATCCTTATGCCCTCACAGGGACCCACCTATTGTGGGAAAGGGGTTATTAATAAATGTAAAAATTGATATAATTTTTAGATAAGTTTCATACCTGGTATTCCCATTGAGATGGTTGTGCCTCCGCGTTCTCACCACTGATATTAACGCCGGCATACAGACAGGCCCTCAGGTGGGCCTCCATTACGTCTCTCCCGTACTGGTTGTTAGCGCCGACAGCCGCGTGATATAGAGCTCGCGGCGCCGATATGGGGTCGGGATAACCATTTTTAGGCCAACCCAACGGCCAGTTACGCTCATTGCCATCCATAAGCATATACTCCTGTTCTATACCAAACCACGGGTGTTGATCCCGCGCCAACTCCATGGCCTCATTACAGCTGTATCTATAGTTGTTGGACAGGGGTTTCATATCTTCCGTTACTATATCACACAAAACTAATTTATTATCGCCGCCCCGGAAGGGGTCATTGTATATCTGGACGGGTCGGAGCAGTATCTCAGTGCACGTGTCGGTAACCACACCCGTCACCCAAATGGGCAATTCAGAGGCCTTTTTGGGTACGAAGTCTACGACACGAGACTTACTGCTAAAATGTGCCAAATTGTCGTTACCCGGGTGTAGGTATACATAGGTGACCAGAATCTTGTCCCGGGGCTGTTGCAGTGCCAAATACCTGGCCAAAAATGGACTGTTGGATTGCAGTGGTATGGAAGTCATATTTACTTTAATAAAAAAAAGTTTATTAAATTATACTCAAAATGAAATTGTTATTTATTAAAGAAATTTTATTTGAATTACTAATACTGTATGAATTGAGTGAATGCTATTTATATAGTTTGAGAATTATGTTTAAATTGTTATTACATGACTAATCTTATTTGATTAAATCAATGTTTGACCATGATAATTAGTAAGTCATTTTTGGTACCATAAATTATCTTATCTAATTAATGTCAAAGTCATTGCTTAATAATATATATTTTATGTGAAAATTGCACTATCATAATCTAATCAATTATGTTTTAATTATTTTATAATTACTTCCTAATTTATTACTTATATGTAATCTTTTAACACTACAACTATTAATTATATATAAATATTGTAAATAAGATAAAACTGTTATAAAACAGATTCAATTTAATCAATGCATAATATATGTTATGATTTGCACCAAAACACCTAAAATGTACTGACTATTTATAACATAGTGTAACGTATATTTTTAAGTTTATCATGTATTTTAGATTTTATTTCATAATGAATTAATAGCTTTAAATAACTAACATAGTTAGTATAAAGTTCAAGGTGCACTATTGCTTTATATATTGATCTCGATGATTAACAAAAATTTAATATTTATACCAGAAAATTATGGGTTCATATTTAATACGGTTGTATTGAAAATTTAATTAATTATTAGATCACATACAATGACTTATAGTAATGTACTAATTGGACCAAAACACTGGATATTAGACAGCAGTTTTCTCGGTATTAATAATTATTAATTATGTATTATTAATTAGAAAATTTACAATCAATCATTTTCTAACCACAAATATTGTAAAATGCAATTGTTACTCAAATTCTGGAAATATATTATCTTTAATATCATACACTGTATGACATACAGCCTGATCAATAAAAATGTGAAATATTATTTCATAAATCATTGTAGTTTATTTTCGAGAACGGTATTTACAAAGTTTGTGATTTATTTTTAAATAAATTTATATTTATCCAACTGAGTTGATTATAACAAAATTTGTGCATCAAATCTTGATAATAAGTAAGTGCATTTTAAGGACCTTAGAGTTACATAACATTATATAAATGTGCCATATCTAATCAATTATGTTTTAATTTATAATTACGCCTAAATTATAATTAAGTTATACAACAAGTGCATTATAATCTAATACATAATTTGTTGTAACTTGCATCAAAATATACAAAATATCCTAAAATCTTTGATGAATTTTTGGCATAAGTATCAATGTTATAGTAAATTATAACTCTGCTATAAAGTATTGTACAAGGTGCACTACCGGTAATGTGTTTTCATAAGTTCGCAATATACAGTATTAATCTCAATGAATAATTTTAAAGATTAATTGTAGTTGGCCCAGTATATAATGGCCCATTATTAATAGGTACGTATTTAGTTTGGTTGTATGGGAAATGTAATTAATTATCAGATCAGCTAGGATGACGTTTAGTAATGTACTAATTGGACCAAAACACTGAATATTAGATAGCAGTTTGATTGATAATTGTGTATTTTTAAATTAAAATTGTGTAATTATTCACGTTTGTTTTCACCACAAAATAGTGTCAAATTCAAATCATTATGAGATATTTTCGCAATAGAAAGTGAAATATTTATTCATAAATCATTTTTAGTTGATTTGAGTTCATAGCAAATTTACAATACATTTATTATCTAATACATTATGATAAAATATTTTTAAATACAGATTTATATAGTATATTTTGTATTACAGTATAATGTGTTTAAAGCATTTCACCAATTCCTTCATAATATAGAAATTCCTATATTATTAAATAAAATGTTTTATTATGTTTATTAAGCATATTGTTATTGGTACTGTAA